GTTATTGTCAAAAATGGTAATGATGAATGAAGTGTAGTCCTGGGTAACATCATAATATTTTATTTGCAGGATCTCTTCGGAACGTGGGCGATCATGGCTATACACAACTTCCTAATATTTGAATCCGTGAATAATGTCTGTCTCCTTATCTTTCCTCCCATTTCCTATTCTGTCATCAATTTACACAATCATTTGGTATGCTATTCACTATTTTCCTCTGTCCCTTCGATATACCCCGTGCGTGCCATATTCTCCAAACTTTCTTTCCACACCATGCGTCGCAGAAATTTCCACTGTGTCATTCTGATATTAAAAGCGACTTTTTGTTTCCAATTTCCTTAAAATTTCCTTGTTGCTCAAATATTTCGATCATAAGATTCTGCACAGGACAATATCTCCATCACTTCAAGACTCCTCTTCATCTATAAAAAAAAATTGTCCAGCAATAACATATAATTCCAGCCTTCGTCAGCCGCAGCTCCAGCCAACCATCGTCAGCTGCAGCTCCAGTTCGCCATAATCAACCTCAGCTCCAGCCAGCCATCATCAGCTGCAGCTCCAGTTCGCCATCGTCAGGCTCAGCTGCGGCCAGGCATCATCACACGCAGCTCCAGCCTGCAATCATCAGCTGCAGCTCCAGTTCGCCGTCGTCAGCCACAGCTCCAGCCAGCCATCATCAGCTGCAGCTCCAGTTCGCCATCGTCAGCCGCATCTCCGGCCAGGCATCATCACACGTACCTCCAGCCAGCCATATTAACCTGCAGCTCCAGTTTGCCACCGTCAGACACAGCTCCAGCCAGCCATAATCACACGCAGCTCCAGCCAGACATCATCAGCTGCAGCTCCAGCCAACCATCGTCAGCTGCAGCTCCAGTTCGACATCGTCAGCCGCAGCTCCAGCCAGCCATCATCAGCTGCAGGTCCAGCCAGCCATCGTCAGCCGCAGATCCAGCCTGCATCATCAGCTGCAGGTCCAGCCAGCCATCGTCAGCCGCAGATCCAGCCTGCCATCATCAGCTGAAGGTCCAGCTAGCCATCGTCAGCCGCAGCTCCAGCCGGCCATCATCAGCTGCAGGTCCAGCCAGCCATCGTCAGCCGCAGATCCAGCCTGCCATCATCAGCTGCAGGTCCAGCCAGCCATCGTCAGCCGCAGCTCCAGCCAACCATTGTCAGCTGCAGCTCCAGTTCGCCATCGTCTGCCGCAGCTCCAGCCATCCATGGTCAGCTGCAGCTCCAGTTCGCCATCGTCAGCCTCAGCTCCAGCCAGCCATCATCAGCTTCAGCTCCAGTTCGCCATCGTCAGCCGCAGCTCCAGCCAGCCATCATCACACGCAACTCCAGCCAACCATGGTCAGCTGCAGCTCCAGCCAGCCATCATCACACGCATCTCCAGCCAAGGATAGTCAGCTGCAGCTCCATTTCGCCATCATCAGCTGCAGGTCCAGCCAGCCATCGTCAGCCGCAGCTCCAGCCAACAATTGTCAGCTGCAGCTCCAGTTCGCCATCGTCCGCCGCAGCTCCAGCCAGCCATCATCAGCTTCAGCTCCAGTTAGCCATCGTCAGCCGCAGGTCCAGCCATCCATGGTTAGCTGCAGCTCCAGTTCGCCATCGTCAGCCTCAGCTCCAGCCAGCCATCATCAGCTTAAGCTCCAGTTCGCCATCGTTAGCCGCAGCACCAGCCAGCCATCATCACACGCAACTCCAGCCAACCATGGTCAGCTGCAGCTCCAGTTCGCCATCGTCAGCCGCAGCTCCAGCCAGCCATCATCAGCTGCAGCTCCAGTTCGCCATCGTCAGCCGCAGCTCCAGCCAGCCATCATCAGCTGCAGCTCCAGTTCGCCATCGTCAGCCGCAGATCCAGCCTGCCATCATCAGCTGCAGGTCCAGCCAGCCATCGTCAGCCGCAGCTCCAGCAAACCATTGTCAGCTGCAGCTCCAGCCAACCATTGTCAGCTGCATCTCCAGTTCGCCATCGTCCAGTTCGCCATCGTCAGCCGCAGCTCCAGCCAACCATGGTCAGCTGCAGCTCCAGTTCGCCTTCGTCAGCCGCTGCTCCAGCCAACCATGGTCAGCTGCAGCTCCAGTTCGCCACTCACTACATGGGCATGCACTCTAATTTTAAGTTTGTACATATATTTTCTTTAATAAAAATAAACTTTGCTATATATCGTTTCCTCAAGTCTTCCTTCTCTTTGTTGTTGTTTTCAGTCATATCTGTTTGTGAGCCTATATATCACTGGCATACCATTTTTTTTTTTTTAGGAAAAGAGATGAGGATTAAGTTTAGGTTCAAAATTGAAGGGTTGGAATTTCATTCCGGTCTTCAGTGTAAGATTTAACACTGTCAAAAGAATCCCGTTCCTTGCTGGAAAACAAATGTGTAAATATAATTTAAAAATGTTTTACAATCACACATTTATCTCGGTCTCAATAAATCAAAGAAAAATAAATCAAAATTACGAATAATTTAAAAATATTCACTTTATAAATGCAAAAATGGAGATTAAATACAATGTCTAAATAATATATGTATTTTTGTTATGGCGGTCGACTAAAACTGATTCCTTTTTTTCTCATTTACAATTTACTCTTTGTTATTTTTAAATGGAAATAAACTAATTCTAAAACAAATCATAAAACTCCATAAAAAAATTCCTTCATTTTAATTTTAATCAAGAGTAGTTGTATATTTCATTTATTAATCTCATGCTGGAACTTTCTTCAGTGGATATTATTTAAGTTCGCACCATTAGAAACATCTGTCCTCGAACACTCACTATAAAAATAATTATATCTTTTATATTTTTATACAATTGACTTAATTATTTTAAACAAAGAGTAAACATTTTGTTTAGTCTACACTATTTGTATTTTCGAAGTGGCTAGCATTTAATTAAAGCGTTGTATTTGTTTATTTCATTGAAAGAAATTATTTCCATTTAAGTAAGTAATATATTCTTTCAAATTTACTTTAGAAATTTTATTAAAATAGGATGTTTGCACTTGGCCTCCGTACAAGAACTCAATGTTAATTCTATGCTTGTTTATCTTTTTCTTTGTTTAATTTGAACTACTTCCTGTCTTTATTTTCAAAATTTTAATTAATTAAATAATAGCAATTTACTCATAATCTTCCTTTCTCTGGTAAATAATATTTTGATATTTTTCTTCACATTTATCATGTATACGGGATCTGTTTTACATATACACATTTTGCAATTTCAGGTTCCAGTTGAAAAAAAGGAATATTTAAAAGCTCAGAGAGAAAACAGGACCAAAAGTCAGTTTCCAATTTGGAACTTGTAGAGGACCGTGGCTGTGATGTTGTTGAGTAGACGTAGAAGAAACACATGTGGGGTTCAGATTTTCCTGCTAGCCGATCCAACTACATGAAAAGGTTGGACTATTAATTAAGTCCAAAGAATGCAAAGAAAACAAACAAAACACAAGACCGATAATATGTGTATACAAATATATATATTAATAAAAAGTTACATGGAAACGGTTACAAAGGACAAAGTGTGTGTGTGAATATTATATATGTGCGTTTGTGTGTGTGTGTATTGTGCTTAGCGTGTTCCCAGCATTTGGGAAACGCTATCTCTGCTGAGCGTTTACATTTTTGAGGTGGTAAGGCTGGAAGCCTGAGGAAAAAGGAGAGATTTACCTCTAGGTGTGGGCGCACAGGCCTGAGGGAAAAAGAGAAAGAGGCGAAGGGTCAGCGGCTATTTATAGCCAGGGAAGAGAGACCCCTGGTGAAAGGGTTAACGAACTAAAGGAGAAGTTAACTCCGACAAACTATTGACAAAGATACTGTCAAAAATATCAAAAATGAACAACTGAACCAGAAATATTAAACATGGGGAGTGAAAGATAAGCGAGAATAAAGATTCTACACATGTTGCATTTACTTCAGTATTTTCCACCAATGTCTTCAAATAAAGAAACATTTGATAAGTTTTGAGCCAAGAATATTAGTGTCTAAATATTCTATGGAACTTATTAAGGGTGATGTATCTTCCAATCTTGGGGCATTTGTTGCTAATGCCTTTTTATTATACCTACAAGATATGGGCTTTCTTTGTTTAAGCCTTAACTTAAAAGAACATTATCATTAATAAATCAAAAATAGACAGGGAAAACGCAATCGTAAACGTAACCAGCCATGAGAAGGATATACGGAACCATGAAAATATGTGAATTTGTGCTAACTGCTTAGTTGCAATACAAAGAGATTACATAGGTAAACAGCGAAAAACATTTAAGATAACCAAAGAACCATAGCACCACTTGACTTTCACCAGAATGAAGATACCTCAACCACAAAATTGTCCTTAACATTGGTGAAACTTGTATTGTTCTTGCAGAAGATGTAGTTGTTGTTTTAAAAGAATTCAGCAGTGTAAATTCCATAAAGGCAGTTCTTGTGGACAATACCAGTACAAACACTGATATTTAGGCAGGGCTTGTTTTAGCTCTGGAGAAAAAACATAAAAGAAAGTTGCATATTATTGTCTGTTCACTTCATGAACTTCCATTTAGAGATGTTTTTAACTACATTGATGGAACTACAAGAACCCCTACTACATTTATTTATTGTGTCAGGAATTTTTAAAAATGATAACCAGGATTTGCCTTAGGCAGAATTGGAAACTAAGAGTGGCCCTCTGAATAACTTATATCTTACTGCAACGTCAATGGAAGATTTAAGTTGCGACCAGAGACTGCTCTCATAATGTGCAGCTGGAATTTTTCGAGGGAATGCTAACAATAGATTTAATATGATGATTATGAACAAAAGTAGCCTATCCACCAGTACTTTTATGATAAATTGTACAGCCTTAAATTGTATATATATATATATATATATATATATATATATATATATATATATATATATAGATAGATATGATAGAATAGATAGATAGATATTAAAAAGTGCAAAAATAATGTCGTTTTTTGACGTTAACGTCAAAAAACGACATTATTTCTGCACCAACCTAATAGATAGATAGATAGATAGATAGATAGATAGAAAGATAGATCAATTATACAATAAGGCTTAAAATTTATATATATATATATTATAGATAGATAGATAGATAGATAGATAGATAGATCAATTATACAATAAGGCTTAAAATTTATATATATATATATATATATATATATATATATATATATATATATATATTATATATATATTAAAATTGAAAGGAATAATAAATTTGATTATCAATAATCATGCATAACTTAAACATGATCCAGAAAACAAGTCAACAGTCGTCGGAAATACAGAATGTTGCATAAAAAATTTACAGTACAAAAATACCAGAGAAAAGATTTTTAAAAAAATACATTCAACTCTGAACCGAGACACTGGTCAAATTTAATTCACCTCGCATACAATGGAGTTTTAGAATCTACGCTTTCACTGAAATGAAAGAAGTTCTAATGAATGGAAGGTGTGAAAAGAGTAGTTAGATTAACTACTGAAGCTTCCAAAATGAACAAGAACCAAGGAATAAACTCATTATTACAGAAACATTGTGCCACCAAATAAAACATCCATTTACTTCAAAGGGAAATGAACAATTTAGGTATATTATAGTGTAATATGTTATATAGTACAGTAGTTTTAGTGTGATTTTCAATAAACAATGAAATTTTAAGCATTTTGTTTTATAATGTGTGACCAGCAGTATTATGGTGTTATATACTTTGATCTATTTTTTTTTTTTGTTTTTATTAATTATGATCTAATAAATTATGGAAGATTTTATTCAATAATTAGCATATTTTGTAATATTTTATAATTTTTACCAAATTTTCACTTAAACAAATTGCATATATCATGAGGTGATTCATAATTAGAATTCTGGTTTGAATATATTTTGCATTCAATATATCTAATACAAAAAATATCAACTTTATTTGGATTTATTCTTGAAATAGTAAAATTTTGAAATCAATGTGTAAGCGAAAAATAATGCGGAAATTACGTATTTCTATACATAGTTTACAGACGATTATTTCAAACCAAATAATCAAGAATTGGTAAAAGAGATGAAAGTAATTTATGGTCTCAATACATTGAACCTCAGATTTTGTAATCAATGCAGTACTGATTTTCTGAAGAAATTGAAAAATAAACCTGCGCTAGTGTGGCAATCCTAAGAGAACCAGAAATCATTAGTTGAGGACACAATCTTCTCATCGTCTTTATTTTAACATTACAATAAGGCGAGAACAAGTAATTCTATCAGGATTTATGATTGGTGGACACAATGAAATTGTTAGTGGCAAAAACAAATGTATAAGGAAAGAGTTTAAGATCCGAACTATGAATTAGTGACGTCAAAATCAATTAAGCAATTAAGTGCTCTATCTGGTTTGGTTTGGTTTGTTTTTGGTTTGGTTTGGTTTGGTTTGGTTTTGGTTTGGTTTGGTTTGTTTTGGTTTGGTTTGGTTTGGTTTGGTTTGGTTTTGGTTTTGGTTTTGGTTTGGTTTGGTTTGGTTTGGTTTACGGCATATTGATCTCAATGGGTTATTTAATGCCGACAAAATTTTTATTGTTGGTAATAATTTTTTTCAAAAATCTATTTCTGGTAATATCTTCTCCTTCAAAAAACATTCTGGTAATATTTTACCTACAAAAAGCCTATTTCTGGTAATATTTTACCTACAAAAAGCCTATTTCTGGTAATATTTTACCTACAAAAAGACTATTTCTGGTAATATTTTACCTACAAAAAGACTATTTCTGGTAATATTTTTTTCTTCAATATTTCTGGTAATATTATTTTCAAAAATGTATAGCTGGTCATAATTTGTTTTTTGTTTTGTTTGTTTGTTTTTTTTTTACAAAGTATTTCTGGTATTAAAACCTATTTTTACACTTTCATAGTGTTTTGACCCCTGTTTAGGGGTTAACTGTGACCCTAACAGGTTCTAACATCTCTGGTAAGGCTGAACCCGGGAACACCAGTAATTGAGACGTGTTTCCACGCTCCTCAAAACCTCCTGATCAGAGGCCTTACTGTCGGATGTAGTTTATCGTCTTACCCAGGCGGCGGATGTAGTTTATCGTCATACCCAGGAAGAAGTCTATCTGGGAAGTTTTATAATATGGCTTAAAATATGAAAGAGAAATATGGACGCAATTTGGAAAAGTGAAAGATTTTTTCCAGGCGCCAAGCAGAATTTTAGAAAACACGAAATAACCTTAGAAACAAAGCAAAAATGCTGAACTACAACGTAATATCAGTTCCCTTGTATCAATAAGTCAAGGATAATCAGTACCTAGATAGGGGGACCACTTGGTAATGGCAGGTGTTGTGAGCTTCGATGTGCGCTGGTGTCTTGGGGAACTACTTAGAATTGTTAATCAAAATTCCAGTCGGGTTTGTTATATTAACTTACGCACAAATACCTTTGGGAAAGGACAGATATCTACGAAGGGCAAATGTAAGAGTAGAGTAAAATTCCTAACAGGTGTAAGTGGATGACAGAAGAGTATCTATGAGGAACAGTGACGAGACAAATATTTCCTAAAACTACAAAGGAAATGATGTTGTGAAGAACCATGATCAGCCGACGGTGTAAATGGTTGGCAAACTGCGAGGGATATAAGGAAACAACCATTTCTTAGGCTACAAAGGATAGGAAATTGTGCCGAGCCAGGATCAAAATGCTTGAAGATACTGTGTAAGTGTATGGTAGAAAAGGGACTGCGAAGTATAAGTAGACAAATATTGTTTAGATATATAATGGATAGGAAGTCGTGGCGGGCTATAATCATCCGCATTATTGAGAGACTGCACATAAAAAATAATTCCTTAAACGAAAGTTTCCTTCTTGGACTGTGCTTACGGCTATACCACGTTGAAACATCGGTTCCCGTACGATCACCGAAGTTAAGTAACGTTGAGTCAGGTCATTACCTAGATGGGTGACTAGGTATAAACTTTGTTGTGCTGCTGCTGTAATGCATAATGGTTGATGAATTATTAATCGGAGAACCGAGTTCTGATTCTGTTGTGTTCGTTATATTCACTTACGCACAAATACGCTTAGGAACGGTAGGAATCCCTCTTTTCTCCCCCAGCTATGGGCTAATTAGTAAGACTTATCTCACTAAATCATTATTATCACCAAAAAAATTCTTACAGTCTAAAAAAAAATTTCTGGATTTACATAAATAATGCCAAGTGTTGATAAGCCGTAAAAACGAATTATTTGAAGGCCAGACGGAAATGAAACAGAGAGTAATCTACGTAATGAGCTTGTCTGTATGGATGGTAAGACATGGATGAAAAGCAGAGAAACATTGCTTACTGTTACCAAGGATGTGATGTTGCGGAGAGCCAAAATTGCCTACACCTTAAAGGGCAGATGTTTAAGGAGAGTAACATTCCTAACAGGCTTGTGTAAGTGGATGGCAAAACAGAGATAAGAAAGGATAGCTAGGAATGAAATATCGTTTAGAGATACTGTTATTTTGGGTATATCCCTCTGTAGTAGCAGTCTTAGCACAGTTCTCTGCGTTACGGTAAGCAAAAGGTGTTCACTGAGTAATGCTGTCTTGTTCACCAGTTGCTTTCCTTTTAAACTTCTCCTAATTCATTTGCATATGATACTACACCTCCCTGAATCGAAGAGGTCGTACACCCTGGTTTTTCCCTCTAATATTTCTGATAATTCACGTACTGTGCTCTTGTCTTTCTTGTCTTCTTTTTAATGGTGATCTTGGTCTTTCTTCATCTTCACTGACGTCATTCTTTTCATTCTCACTTTCTTCTGTTTCCTGCTCTGTTCCACTTTTGTGACTTTCTCTCTCTTCTTGTTCTTGATCTTCCATTTCCACGTCATCCAGTTCATTTCTGCTTCTAATTTGATCCGCGCATGTGCTAGTATATTTTGCCTCTTTTCTTCCAGTTTAGCCGTTTTGTGTTCTTTTTTGTATCAGGAAATTTGCTTCTTTTGAATCAGCCTTATTGTTCTTTCTTTTTCGTTGCAAAGGACATAGTTATGGAGGCTCTGATTTGTCTACCCATTAACGCGGAAGGGCTCAGTTTTCTTCCTGCAAGTGGAATGGACCTGTAACATAAGAGCATTTTAGGTAGATACACTTCTATGTTTCCATTAAGTGGCGGGAATGCTTTTAACCCCATTTTCATCGTTTGTACCATTCTTTCTACAATGCCATTAGATTGTGGGTGATACGGTGGTGTCTTGGATGGGATTCATCCAATCTGTTTTAACCATGCACATAAGTTCTCATCACAAAATTCAGGTGCATTGTCGATGACTATTGTCTGGGGTACTCCATTCCTTAAGAATATAGTTCTTAGTACTTGCTTTATTTTGGTGGCTTTTTCTCTCTTTTACTCTGACAACCTCTGGCCATCCTGAATATGAGTCCACTCATATTAAGAACAATCCCCTATCTTTGATATATGTGTGTGATCCATGTAGACCCTAACCCATGGCTCTCCTTCTTTGGGACATGAGTGAAATTTTACTTGCTTGAAGTTTTTTATTTCCACACATTTTGGGCATCATTCCTCTACATCTTTTGAGAATACCCTGGCCGCCAAACTTGTAACTTTAGTCTTTTTTGCGTTGATATTATGCCACAAGGCACGTCATCATGCACTCCTTTTAATCTCCCTCCTTAGTATTTGTGGAGCTACAATTATATCCCAATAAATATTATGCCATTTTCTCTGGCCAGTTTGTGCTTCGTTTCTTTAAAGAGTCACTGTGCCATCAAACAATTGCTCCATATATTATTTTTTATTCTCTCTAGTAATCTGTTTAATATCTGCTTGCTGTTGTATTTAGACTATCTAGAGGAAGAACGTCCGTTTCTACACAGTGTATTATTTTGTCTTCATCATTTTTCTGTTTCATTCTTGAACTGTAATCTTGATAAAAACATCTACACGAGAAATAGTGTTCCTTTTACGTACACTATTTCAAAATCGAATGCCATGATTTTTATGGCCCATCTTAAAATTCTTGACGAGGTTACTTTTGGTAATTCTTTCCTCGGATTAAGTATGAATTCCAATGGTTTTTGGTCCGATTTTAATAAGAATTTTTTTCCTATCACAAATTTTCGTGACCTTTCCATACAATCTCTAGTTCATCTTTTTAAATTGTCGAATAGTTAATCTTGGCTGACCATAACCTTCTTGATATGTACATGATTGGGTGTCGTTCTTGTGATAGAATAGCAGCAATCGCCTTTTCACTCGTATCTGTGGTTAACACTTTTTGTGGGTCAAAACTTTTACTATTGGTTTGTTTTTCAGTATCTTCTTAAGTGTTTCAAAAGCGCTAGTTTGCTTATGTCTCCAATTAAATTCATTATGTTTTGTTCGTAAATCTGTAAATGGCTCTGTTACATCGCTATATCGTGATATGTACTTAATATAAAACTTTATTAGCCCGAAAAACGATTCTCATTCCTTTTTTATGTGTTTGAGGAGCTATTTCTGTTATTTTCTTTGTTAATCTATCGTCGGGTGATACGCCTTCTTTCTATATTTGATATCCCAAATATGATATCTTCTTGCAGTCAAAATTATATTTGTATTTGTTTACAATCATATCTACCGTCTTCAATCTCACTAAAATTTGCTCTTATATATTTCAATTCTTATTTAGTTTTTGTCCCTACTCATATATCGTCTTGGTATATTATCATATTTCTTATTTTTCCTAATAAGACTCTCTCAATTGCTTTCTGAAAAATATGACTCCAAGTCGAAAACGGAAACCTAAACAGTAGACGAGTCCTGCTTAGTAAGCCTATAGGGGGTGGGGGTATCGTGGTAACTTCCTTGAATTTCTCGTCAATTTCTATTTGGTTGTATGTTGCATTGAGAACCATTTTTTCAAAGTATTCCATTTTTGCTAACTCAGTTAGTTTCGATATTTGGCAAAGGAAAAGAGTCTGAACATTGATGATGATTTACCCCCTATCTTGTAATCACCACAAATTCTTAAATCTCCATCAGGTTTCTTTATCGCTACTATTGGTGACGTCCAATTGTTACCTCCTTGAGTTACTCTTTCTAATATGCCTTGTTGTATCATTTTGTTTAATTTGGCAACTACCAAAGGTAAGATATGAATTGCAACTCTACTTCATTCGATATATTTTGGATAATAATTTTCTTGTAGTGGAATGCTTGCTTTATAGCCTTTCAATAATCCTATTTTCTTCTGCTTCCATGGAATTGGTTAACCTTGCTGTATCTACTTTTAATACATCAATTCCTAGTAATCCATCATCTTTTTCGCATTCTACAGCTGTAATGGAAATTACTTCAAAACGCTTATCAGCTTCAAAATTTCCTTCAAATGTACCCATTATTCCTGTAGTCATTTCATCAAATTGCTTTAATTGATGTTGCTTTTTTTTAATTTAGGTCGTCCTAATTTGATCCAGAAATTCGTTGGTATCAACGCGACTTCACTGCCTGTATCAACTTGCGAGTTAAATATTTGGCCATTTATCCTTATTTTTTTCTCTACTTCTTTTTTGTGTATTTATTGTAAATATTTCAGCTTTTTCTTCGGAGGGGGTTTGTACCCTTTGCACTCTTTCTATTTTCTTTTCGTATTTGCTTATGTTATGTTCTGAAAATGATCTCTTTTTATGCAATTTAAGCATACTTTTCCTAAAGCAGGACATTTTTATACTTGTCTCTCTCGTGATTTTTCCACAATATCTACATTTAAATATGGATTTGGTCATGCTCGTACTGTACGTCTCAAATTCTTTTTTTGGTTGATTACATTCTCTAATCAACTCTAATTGTTGTAAAAACTCGACGCTAGCTTCCACTACTACTCTGTAAACATTCCAGTATTTTTTGTTTGTTGTTTTGCTCTTGGAAGCCTCCAATTATTCTGAGAAGGATTAATTCTTCTTTTATAGTCATTTCTCGAGCTCCCAACTTTTCAAATTCGCAATACTTGGACGTTCTTTTAATCTATGTAAGTATTGCTTAATGGACTCAATTAGTGCTTGTCTTGTTTCTAAAAACTTGGTTCTTTCAGCAATGACCAATTTTTTCTTTGGTCTTATGTTCTTCTTTTATAACTTTGATAATTTCTTCAAATGTCATTTCTTCTAAATCTGTCATCTCGTAATCTTTTTAAGCTGACAAATTCCGCAAAAGTTCTTATCCACGTTACTACGTGTTCTGGGTCATCCAGCGCATTTAAGGATCCTATCGGCGACGCCATTGTTACGTTGGGTATATCTCTCGGTAATAGCAGTATTAGTACAGTTCTCCGCGTTACGTTAAGCAAACGGGCTCACTGAGGATATTTATTTCTGCAAATACAGAAATTGTGGCACATGGCCGGTGGGGATAAATATGGTGTTCCTTAGCTATCCGAGTCAATCAGATTCTCGACCCATTCATTCATTACAATTTACTAATTCACCAAATGAACTTATCCATCATCTCTCGATCCTACATACACCAAAATACCTCATATTCACATGGGGCCTACAAAACATCCCATGAGATAAAAATTTGATGAGAGTCCAAAATGTCCATTTTTTTCACTTTTTTTTTTTTTTAACCAAAAATATTTAAAAATTTCATGATTCATGAAATGATGGGGAGGGGAAAAGATCAAACTAAAATATAACACTTTAATAAGAAAATATAACACTTTAATAAGATAAATCAAAACAAATATTAGTAGGACCCGTCCACCCTTCAAAAAAATAAGGCCGCTGGTTTCTGCCCATAGACATAATCAAGCGAGATAAAAAAAACAGGGGACAAAAACATTAACTAGGAAAACAAAATAGTGACTAACTTAACCAGGGGAAACCGCCCCGTTGCACTTAAGGGGACTTAAAAGAGAAAATCAAGGCTAGCCCGGTTCACACGAACCAGGCTCACCTCAGTCACCCCCCTTTCGCTGAAATCTGTCGAAATGAAACGATTTCGATTAGATTTGATTTCTACCTTAAATTGATGCTTAAAGAAAACAACCACATCCTGATACGAATAACGTTCATCTCGCAAGATTCCCTACTTTTGCGATGTTCACACCACCATTCTAGCTACGGCTAGCAACGTAAAAAAACACCATCTGTTTTACCCCGGACAACAGGGTCGATACATTGTCGCATGCGTATGCGAGATCAATGGACACGAGCTGATTGGGAGAAATACGAACTGTAAACTTGCCGACATAATCCCAGAAGTGGTGCACCTGAGGACAATGGTAGAAGGTGTACGAAGCTATTTCCTCTAAGCCATGGTCACACCGATGAGAGTCTGGCAAATCTGCCTCACCCCATCTGAGGAGTACGTCATTGAGAGGTAGTACGTTCCGAATCAATCGCCAACTAAACGAAAACTCAGAGTTGCTGAGGTAATCCGCCGCTAGCGCCCAAGACCAAAAAACATAACTCGTCGACAAGTCGAGCCGATCACACAGGGGATCCTTCGCGACCCTCTCCACTAATTTATGATACAATAGTGTCCAAGGACGAGAAAGGTCACTGGACCGAGAAACGACCTTCAAGGCCGACCGACACTCGCTGAGGAAACTCGACAACCTTCCACAACCGCGACGGCGCTTACCCCAAGAAATGGGAGAAGTAATGGTAAGACTAGGGAAGGCGTCCCTAACACTCCGCGCCAAAATCGAGCCCTCTGTCAAAACGCGGCGTAGAAAAGCTAACCTTGAGGCATGGCAATGGCTCATCAGGTGTGGCAATCCCAGCTCCCCATGACTCGTACACTGATAAAAGGCTTCTTTACGGTTCCAATGTTTGCGACCACTCAACAAAAGGGTGATCAACAAACGCTCGATCGCGTCTATACGGGTCCTGTAAAGAAGAAGTACAGCCAAGCGGAAAGGGATGAAGAGCAAAACGTAAGTGGCACACGCCTCATCCCTACCCTTCAAGGACAACCTCCTTCGGAGCCAAGTCCGGACCGATGCTCCGACCTTTGCCTGTACTTCTGACCAATTCTTCTTCAGCTGGTGTTCGGGCCCGAACCACATTCCAAGAATGCGGACGGATTCATCAGTCCAACCAAAGAGTTCTGGAGGCGCGACCCCCTTCCTAACCGCAAACCGGAAAAATTGTTACGGATAATCTTGGCCCCTGTCACCTTCTCGTACCGTTCAAGTGCTTTCTGTACCACCTTAATCTCGCGACGGCATGACACGAAAATGGATAAGTCATCGGCGTACGCAAAAACCCTAGCTCGAGCTCTACCAAGGAAAACAGCGACTCATCTTAAGTCCGGACGGAATGCCCTCTCCTTCAGCCGGCGAAGGAGGGGCTCCAACGCTAAAGCATCAATGAAGTGTGACAGAGGACAACCCTGTCGGACCGACCGATACAGCTCAAAAGCGCTCCACCGCTTCCCGTTCACTTGTACCACAGCAATGGGCGAGCGATACAGAAGGCTGATCCACTTCGAGGACAGCAGCCAGGTACTGCTAGTTAACCCTGTCAAATGCCTTGGCTTGATCCAAATTCACCAGAGCGGCTCGCTCGTCGTCTTCTACAAACTTTTTGATCATGCAGATCAGATGTAGGTTGCTCTGAATTGTTTGGCCCTTCACAACTCAGTTCCTACAACTGACAGCAATCTTTCCATCAGGATGTTGGCCAAAACCTTTAACTCTGTGTTTAGCAGAGTTATGGGCCTGTAATCATATAAATCCCGCCCAACACACTTGCCCTTTTTCAACAGCGTGATCATATCCCTGGAAATCTTGTCTGGGATGAACACCTGCAGGAACCAGTTGTTGAACACCACTGTTAAAATCGGGAAAAAGATTTGCGACAGCCTCAAGTACATTTCGTAGGGCAGTCTATTAAGTCTCGGAGATTTGCCTCTGCCAATCTTCTTCAATGCTAAGTAAACTTCGTCCTCTGTGATCTCACCCTCGCAGCTAACCGCTTCAGTCGACGAAAGCCGAGGAAAGTCAGCCAAATAGCTGTGAAACTCTTCGCCACTGAGACCAGGCTCCTTGGTAAAACGGTTCTCGAAATGCCGCCGAAACGCCTCGCACATGTCTTTGGTCGCCCTCAGAGTACACCTCTCGGTGTTAATGACCTCACGAATGTATCGATCGTGACATTGACGGATCTCTTTCTTCCGCAATTCTGCGCCCATGCTCACAGCTTCGTTAGACATCTTGTTTAACCTACGGCTAACTACCTCACTCTGGTAGCGCTTGCTAGCCTCACGCTTCAGGGACTCCCTAGCTGCGGCTATCTCTAGGGAATCCCCTCCCCCAGCCACCGCCCGGGACAGACTATCATCTAGTCTTCCCCATTTTAGCCTGATCTAGAGGGAGTCGTTGGCTATATTCAGTGGTGAAGTACTTAATCGTATCCATAAGACTCTCACACCACCTACTCCCGATAACGGCCCCACTCTTTTCGCTGCATTAATCAAGTCGGCTTTTTCTGAAAGTTCCGCCTGTCCAGTAAGGACAGATTGAACGTCCAGTGTCCAGCCATTCTAGGCCTAACACAACACCATCCGGGTACAGACGAGTCTATGATCCGAATAGTCTAACTGGTGGAAAGTGGGACAATCTAGTAAATCTCGGTCGATCCTTCTTACTAACATTCTGCCAGCTATCTGGAGAGATGGCCACTTAAGGGCCCACGTCTATATCTCCCGCCCCGGATGATCGATCCGGTATATATCGACGAGCCCAAGCTTGCCAATCAGATCAACCAAGCTACGATCACCCGATGCCTTCATGCTAGCATCCCACCTTTGTGTATCTTGGGGTTCAGAACGGCATTCCAGTCCCCCATTACGACTAAGCGCGTCGAATCAAACAGGAACGGTCCCAACTGACGGAAAAAGTCGACACGCTCCTCCTTATCGTTGGGCGCATAAACCTCAACGACCCGAAACAAACCACTGCTCAAGGCAATATCGGCTACGACCAACCAACCGCCCCCCCCCGCGCCCACATGGACAAGGTCTAACCTCGCACCCAGGGAACGTTTGACTAACAAGGAAACACCTCTGGCCTGCCGGTACCCATATGCTGAATAGACGGTAAAGTCGTTAGACAGCTCACTAGCATCGACGTCGCAAAGTGTGTCTCCTGGATCGCGGTCATATCTACACCAAAGGACCCAAGATCACGAAGCAGACGGGCAGCCTTACCCCAATCTCTCAAGCCCCTTACATTCTAGTTTGATAAACATGATTTAAGCCTGAGTTCCTTAAACACAGACTGGTCAGAAATCTATTGGAGTCAAGAACCCGACAGATTGTCCAAGTCTTCCAGTTCCGATGTCGGTCGTAATTCGATCGTCCTTGACAATACCGCCGACGTCTGTCGGAATGGTTAACTTAAGAGAGTTGGAGCCGCTGTTGTCCCTCCCAGTACACAGTTGCGACATTTTTTCAAGTCAGGTGCCCTTTTTGTGCCATCCTGATATTGGGGAAGGCTTTTATAGCACTAGCCAAGTAGTCCACACTCTTAAATTCCCCCTCCTCGACTTACGTATCAGTGTAAGAACTCAAGGCGCTTGTGGAAAGTTTCTAGGGCCCTCTACGGACTTCCCATCGACAGAGGAATACTTAAACAAGAGTCTCAAAAGAGCCTTTCTTTAAGCAGACAGGTCTTTTTCAAGGGCCTCACTGTCCATAATACAAATCTTCTACCCACTGGAGATTGACTTTTTTCTATTTAGGGGATGGGTTGGGGAGAGAGAAGAAGAAGTAGGAGCCCTAGACGGGGGAGCAGAAAGGCTCTTTACCTTATCTTTGGCCTTTGGCTCGTCAGTTCTTGCTGGTGAATTAGGGACAGATTTGGTCTGTTTTTTATCAGACGATTTTTCCACTCTACTTCGGCCAGACATTTTTTCTTTCTTAGTAATATTCTACTCCTCTTTCTCCCCTTCCTCATCCCTCGTCCTTTCTCAGTGTGGAGGCACGAAACGGTTGCATGCATTCTGTCTCCATTCGAAGTCTGTTTGCTGCTGCTGCTGTTCTTTGCGCTGTTGATTCAGTAGCGGCTGCTGCTGCTGCTGCTGGGTTTTACCTTCCTCCAACTGCTTCCGTCAATGCTTCTTTTTTGGGGAACCTCTTTCTGGGTTGCGGTAAGAGGTGCGGTAACATTCGACCCCTTTTTCGTCACCTCCCTTCATTCTCCGAGACCGTCTGGGATTTCATGAGGCTTGTCTTTTGCCTCTATCTCTTTGGATCTCGCTGGTTGAGGCATTTGTTTTTGATCGGGACACATTTTCGCCATGTGTCTGGCGGTGCCACACAACCAACAGTGCGGCCTTCTTCCCTCTACTACGGCAAAAATCTTTTTGTCCCTTCACATGAGAATTTCCGGGATTTCATTAAATTTTGTCCTGTCCAGGATCACCTGAACGGCAAAATCGCCTGAGATCACACCAGCTTTACTCAACATGCGAGCATCCTCCTCTACCTGACCATATAAGGCAAAGAAAGCTCTCACATGGTCTTCGTTAATATACATGGGTTACAGCGTGTAAAGTAACTTTTGTCCGACGGGTACCCATGTATTCAATTCGCAACGGTAATGTCTTTGTAACCAAAATGCTGACTACTAGTTCTTTTGCTTCCTGTTCTGAAGCTAGTAATATGTCCCAAATCGCATTTAAGCGTTTTGCTAAAATCTTCGGGATTATCTTAAGACACGTCATTGCTTCTTCAACGGCTTCCTTACTTATGCTGATTAATTTTCTGGTTTTTATATCGGACGTTAGAAGGGAGATGTTCCTTGATGTAACCGCATTAAAATCTTCTGGGATAAAGAGTAATTCATTATACTTGACGTACTCGTGCTACCCCCCCCCACTTCATTTTTTAGTAATAGGCCGCATCTTTTTTTTTTCTGGCCTATTCGAATTCCACGTCGATGGACCTGCAGATGGCGTCTCCGTTTGGGTAACAATTGGCTGGGGAGACTCAGCCATTTTGGTCGACGCCTCAACACAAACAGGAAAAATTTTAAAAAAACGATACAACACAACAAAATACGACCACAAAGCAAATAAATATTCAATTTACGGCGATAAGGTTTCAAGTAAAAACCAATAAAGAAATAACTTGTTACACAACGCACTCTTGATAATAAAAAAAAAAAAAAAACGGATTCACTGTTTAATGCTGCATTTTTCAACAGTTGCTTTCCTTTTATGCTTGTCCTATCTCATTTGCATATAATACTACATATACAAAAGATAGGAAGTTATGGAGCGCTATGATTGTCCGCATTCTGGAGAGACTGCACATAAACGAATAATTCCTTAAATTCCAAGCTTCTTTTACTGTTGTACGTATTCAACGGGATTATCTCTATCAAATTTATTTAGAGAATATAAAACAAAATGAATATTCTTTGACTACAGCCGACATTTTAACCCTGAAAAATTAAATATAACGCTATTCCGCGGAAAGTCGTTAAATATTTCCTTTCGTCACTCTCTTTGGCTAATACATGTTTTATTTATTGTGTAAATTCTGGTTCTAAATCTTTTTTACCCAGGAACCAATTTTACTCTTAATTTTTTTGGTGGACCCCCAGAACCATTCGATGAAAAAAAGTTTATTTTATTTTTAACTAATAGTTAAGTTTACGAATTGTATTATAGAAATAGTAAATGTAGATGCTTTATTTTTAAGGAAAACTAACTTAATGAAAATAAACTTGTATTTAACGACTAAATTCTATGTACACAAGTAAAATAACTCATCATAAACTATTTTGAAATATGTGGGTAATTAATAAAATTTAAAAACTTTTTTTTAATATTCGGCCCCATCAAATCTATGATATTCAAAGATCACCCCTTTTTACAATGATATATTAAATTAATTCTTATAATAAATTATAATTTTTATATAATTTTCCATTTTATATATATATATATATATATATATATATATATATATATATATATTCCTTCTTGTCAGTTTTTATTCAACTTTTAGAAACATCCGCCAGAGTAAAAGGGACGCTAACTTACATCGCTTGATCTCGTTTCCTTCTCGTTTTACAGTTGTTTTTCTTTTTTGGTATTTTAATATGGCGTAGATTACTGTAGAAATTCCAATTCACAGTTGTAACAACCATTCCAAAGTGAAATTGCTCTATGGACCACTAAAATATTATCGTTATTAATTTTTGTGTGGACCCCATTACTGTTATATGAACCGTACCCCTAGGTGTCCATATGAATCTCAGTTGATAACTTCTGGTTTAAAGAAAGACAAAATGATATGACAAAATCACCTGCTGTCGTGCAAATGTTAACATGTTGGTCTTTCGAGATATTAACTGAAAGATGTTTTTTTTTTTTTCAAATCACTTGATACTTCACGTTAATATAAGTTCATGTCCAAATTCCCTGGGTCTAACAAATATCAACTGCATTTCAATAAAAGACGCAATTTTCTGCTGTTTTTAACCTCTTAATTTCTCGTACATCGACCACCATTTTCATTCTTCTCAATTTCGCGATCCTATTCGCAAAGATATCTCAGTGGCTCAATAGCAGTTAACCGATTTCTTTTCGCCCTTTTCGATATATTTTCATTATTAATTTGTAAACACAATGTGCCATGAGTTAACGATTGCTTTTATTTCCTTTCTACTTTGCCTCGATTTATCTCCCTTGCTTGAAAATGTCTGTCTACGTCTTGTTCCCATTACAAATTAGATTCGGCCGAGTTTTGCGTTGACTTAGCAACAAAATAAATGTCTGCTTTCGTTTTCACTTGGATTCTTCCGTTCTCCTTTCGTCCATCTTTCTTTTCATTTCTCTTCCTTCCGTTCTTTACCTGATTTTTTTTTTTTTTTTGTTTTTTTTACTCTTTCTTTATTTTCAAAGATTTTTTTTTCTCTTCTGGATTCTATTTCTTTAGCGTTTCACCTACTTTCAATTCTTCTATCTTTCTATATTTCCCTATTTCCAATATAACTGTCTTTATATTCTTTCCAATAATTATGTTATTTTTTTTCTTTACAAATTATTGTCTTTTTTTCCCTTTCTGTTTCTCACATAATCTTGTTCCTTCCATTCTTGTCTGCTTTCTTTCATTTCCCCTATCCGTTCCTCTGTGTTTTATTTTACTTTTCTTCCTTACACCTCCTTTCTTACTTTTCCTTCAAAAATTTTCTTTCACTTCTTTTTTTTCATTCTTTTATTCACATTTCTTCCTTTCGTTCTTTGCTGTTATTCTTTCACTTTCTTTTTCTATTCTTATTCTCAAATGAATAACTTCCTCATAGCTACGTTAAATTCAAATATTTCTTCCTGTCATCTGGTCATCGGTGCAATATGGCGTCCACGAAAGTTTAATAATGACTTCAGCAAGTGACCTTTTTTTATTTCAGCTGAACACTGACACAGTTAACCAACAGAAATTCAATTACATTAATAACTGAAATGCACATAATCTTTGCTAGCACATCAATAACCAATATGGTGTGACATTTAACTAAACAAAACAGAAAGTAGACAGACACGAACATGATAATCAGGACCCAAATTAATTACTGCATTCGATTTCATAAGGTTTAACAGGGTACGGAAAATAAGACATGAAAATCTAAAGGTTCATTGGAGTAGCAAAATATGCCTTCCAAAAACTTAGCAGTCTATTAAGAAACAAGAAAAATTTGATAGAAACAAAGAAAAGAATGATGAAAAATTATGTACACTATTTACATTATTCAGACTATTGTCCTCATCTTTGTCGCCATATTTATTACAACGATTCAGCCGTTGTACGCTCCGGCCTTCTTCAGCTGGTTGGAATGTCGAATTGAACCCTTTATTTCGCTCACTGGGGTAGACTGTACTAGTTCCACGCGCCATGTTTAATAGATGTCAGATATCAGTTATCTCCTGTTAATTCCCCTCTCCAAGTTCTCCACCGCCTTAACCGGGTATTGAACATGTGCCGATGGTACAGTGGATAAAGGCATTGGTTAAATCCAGTGACAGGATCCAAAGAGTGTGAGTTCAATACCCGGTTAAGCCGGTGGAGAACTTAGAGAGGGGAAGTAACAGGAGATAACTGATAACTGACATCCATTAAACATGGCACATAGAACTAGAACAGTCTACCCCAGTGAGCGAAATAAAGGGTTCAGTTCGATATTCCAACCACCTGAAGAAGGCCGGAGCGTACAACGGCCGAAACGTTGTAATAAATATGGCGACAAAGATGAGGACAATATTCTGAATAATGTAAATAGTGAGAAATATAGACAGAAACATTAAGTATTATCAATATTCTTATGTAGCTATGAATGCAGGACAATTATGTCACTGGTGAACAGAAATGTTGAGACAAAAGAAATGCGCTTCTAAAGAATGATGTTGAGAATACCATTGACTGAATGTCAATGAAAATCCAAACAAAAGAAGAGTTATACTTGAATTATAAAGTGTCAGTTGAAATTCTTAGGGCAAATGAATGCATATACTGAAAGCAAGCAGGAGAGATAAAAGCTACGAATAATTTATCTAATGAACTTATGTTGACTGAACTGGGATTAGAAGAGATGGTAAAAGGACAAATATTACTAAGAGCTACAGTGGACAGGAAGTTTGGGAGAGCCATGATTACCGGTGTCCTGAAAGGAAACGGCACAGAGAATAATAATAATAATAATAATAATAATAATAATAATGTGCTTGTATAAATGTTTGGCAGAACAGAAATTAGAAGAGATAACAAAAAGACAAACCTGCACAGGGGATGAAGTTGTGGAGAGCCATGAATGGTACATAAAAGATTACCGAATATTTACAGTTCATATTACAAAACTAAGCAAGTTAGATGTATTGGTCATGTAAAGCGACTTGGCAAACAGACCTTGTTTAAAGGCGGGTCGGCGACTATTGGGGCCTCAAACACAACCCCTGACCTCAAATGGAACTCATGCATACGATGGATTGCTAAAGAGGCAGAAAAACGGTTCTCTGTACCACGTCAGTAAGTACCTGACTCCCCGTGCTATTCTCTTCAGTTACAAAAGCTAGATCAGACCAGAAAAATGGAATATTGCTGTTATATTCTGACAGGAGCTGCACAGTCTTCCCTTTCCAGCCTCGATAGTGTCCAAAAGCGTCTCCGCGTCCTTGCGGGTGATAAATTGGAAAGTAATCGGACGGACTACTTCATGTAGATCTTTAATATTATCCACTGATGTTTCCAGGTGTCTTTCTGCCTCGCAAAACTCTTTAAGGATTCTTGATATCTTTGGGCGGCAAGTGAAGTGTTAGTTCTACTGCGAACTACTCATGATCTAAACAAAATATTGAGCCTCTCAGCTGTGGACAGGAGCTGAGTTATAACTATAATCCAACAAAAGAAGCATCTAAGAGTCGGATAGGTTATGAAATTTATAATAATATTAATATTAATACTACTATGACTACTACAACTATTATTACTACTACTACTACTAATAATAATAATAATAATACACTAGGGATATCCTAAACCAAACAACTTCTTTTATGAAATTTTGATTCATTCATTCATTCGTTTTTTTACGGCTTATCAACCCTTTGCCGGTTATTTAAAGCCAGAAAATATTAATGATTTAGCAATACAGGTCTTACTAATTAATCCATAGCTGGGGGACGAAGTGATGGATTCATACCTTTCTCAGGGTATTTTCACGTAAGTGAACATAATGGAATTGGAACTCGACTATCCGATTATCAATCACGAGCCATTATCCATTACCCCCAGCGAAAAAATCCAAGCTTACGGCATCTGCTGTTCCAGTGCGGTTACCCATCTAGGTATCGACCAGACTTGACATTGCTTAAATTTGGTGATCATACTGGAACCGTTGTTTCAACGTGATGTGGCCGTAAACCTTGAAATATTCAGGAAATTTATTCTCACTCTTGCGATCATTCTAGGACAAAGACTTTTATTTGAATATTTCATAAAATTAAAATGTCTGGATTGAAAAAAGATATACCGGCTTGATTTTTCTGCAAAAAATTATAATTGTCCATGCACGTCTCTTCAGAACTCAAAGGTAATATTTCAACATCCATGTTACCTGTTTAGGAAGAATATAAAAAATATAAATCTTGTTAGATATTTCTATTTTTCTTTTCCCCCTTGGGAATTCTTCTGTTATCAAAATGACAGGTTTGTTTTACTAAGCAATTTTTTCCTCTTGGGAGTTTTAATATTTCTTCATACGCAAGAATTTGAAATTGAAAGCTCAAATTTCTAGTGTGAAATTCAATTCCAAATCTGAAATCACTAAAATGTGCAAGCGTTGTAACTTTTATTTTAGTTCAAATCATAGAAAGAAAAATCCTTTGTTTTTCTTTTTCTTGAATCTGCATACTACCCGTAAAGCTGACGATCACGACGACAATATGGTAGGTAATACAGGTCGGACTTCAGTAGCAAGTACGTTATTCCTGGATGCAATTGTGAGCCTCAACACACAACTAATTTAACAGATCGCGACATCTATCAAAGAGATGAAATTTAAATTTTTATTATTGCATTATTCTAAAAATTTTAACACATCAGCAGATAGCTATTAATGTCAACAAGTGAGCGTTATTAATTAGTCATTAATTAAAACAATTAGTAATTAATGGATAATAGTATCCATAACTACATGTAAAAGAATATCGTTTTTGATAAAAGTTAAAAAAATAACCATAAATAAGTAAAAGAAAATGCGTATATTATACGAAAATTCTTTATTTTTTTTCACAATATAGCTATTTGTGCTATGTTATAATGCTTATTATCTAAAAATTAATAATATTGAATATATATTTTTTTTTAAACATTAGAATATCGTATTTTTCGCACTATAGTCCGCACCTGTATATAACCCGGACTCCTATAAATTCAACAATCTGGACATAACTGGCTCGACGCTGGGACCGGTCTTTGTGAAGCTATGTTCTCTTAATCTTAACCCCGGCCACTCAAGACAAAAGTCATATATAATCCGTACCCTACATATTTTGAGAAAAAAGTCGCCGGTTATAGTCTGGATAATACGGTATTACATCTCCCTAATAGCAGTCGCGATCTTTAAATTCAGGAGTTGTCCTTCTACTAGGCTGGTTGCCAACCAAGGCTAAAGAGGCCAGTACAGGCTGGTATTTTACCAATACCTGAGCCATGGCTTTCGCAAAGGTATTAATGCGTAGTGGACCGAAGAGAGTCGACCGAAATTATTTTAACACGTTTCACCTGTTGTCAATTTACACACCAAGACGCACTACTCGACTCGGGAAAAAGGATAAAAATAAATAATAATAATAATAATAATAACCCACGGAATATAAAACCAGACATGATAGAGTGGGTCGATACCTGCATTGGAAATTCTGCAACTTTTGTGGAAAGGAAACTGCAAGAAATTGATATGAACACCACCCAAACCCAGCTACTGATAAGACGTGTAACAATTTTATTAGACTTTACAATACACAACAGACAGAACAATCGAAGCTCATCGCCCAGACATGGTGCTCACAGACCCCGAAAACAGAATGTGCCTTCTTATTGACATGGCAGTCCCTGCAGACTGTAATGTGTATCTGAAGATCCTCAAAAAACAATCAAAATACAGGAACCTTCAAATGGAAATCCTAAAAATGTGGCACATGAGGACATGAACAATTCCAGAGCCGTCGATTTGATATGAAAAGATTCTGATAAACTCATTGAATGAATCCCTGGTAACCCATGCCTTAAAGAAATACAAAATATTGTATTCACAAGCGCAGCTCACACATTAATAAATGATCTATGGAAAATGTTATGAAGTCATTTCTGACCTTAGGCCTCTGGTTGGGATCCGGAAGGAAATATGAATACAAAGGAATTAATAATAATAATAATAATAATAATAATAATAATAATAATAATAATAATAATGAAATCTCAAAATATTTCAGTTATACTTTGAGCCATCGGAATTGTACTGACTCATTGAAAAATTACGAAGGATTTTATCAAAATATTGTAGACTTACGAAGGATTTTATCTATGTAGACTGTTCGATCTGAAGTATTTTCTAATGAATGCTCATTGGAAAATGTCATGATACCATTTCTGACCTTATATCTCCGGTTGTGACCCGAAAAGAAATGAATATATACCAGAAACCAAATGAAATAAAATAATGACAATAATAAAAGAGTAAACATGTTTTTATTTCTTGTAGATATGCCAGTGGCTATCAGATAAAAACATTACTGT